CAAGTGGCATTCAGTTAGGTCGTCGGCAGTCATCAGCTTCTCATCCGTTAGCCGCTTATAAATGGGCAAAACAGCCAATCCCTGTGCTTTTGTCAGGAGAGGTGTGTGGCGTGGTGCAGGTTCACCAAGTGCTTCAGCGCGTTGATGTTTGCACCACGACAATGTTCCTGCAGGGCAAAGCTTGTGGCTGCCAGCATTGTCAGTAGAGCATAATTGGAAGTACGAAGAAGCAGTCGTAATTAAGGCCTTCAAGTGGTTGTGGGTCGACGGGGGCTTGCGACAGGCAGTCGGCATCCGTGTGTTTTCTGCCGGACATGTAGATGACGGTATTGTTGCATTTTGGAACTTTCAGGCTCCATTAGGCGAGACGACCTGAAGAGTCCTTCCGTTAGCTAGCCAACACAAGGCGAGGTTGTCACTCACAACTTTGAAGGGCCTGTCAAAAAGGTAAGAACGAAAATTTGACGAGGCCCAGATGATGGCAAAGAACTGCTTTTCTCTTGTGGAATAATTGCTTTCTTCCTTGAAAAGTGACCGCAAGCAAAACTAATAAACCTTTCCAGTCCGTCAGCTTTCTGCATAAGGATGATGCCAAGTCGTACACTACTTGCATCAGTGTACACTTCTGCTACGGCGTTTTTGTCAAAAGCGCGAATAGAGCATGCAATTGTAAGGGCCGTTTTAGTTCCTTAATGCTTCCTCCTGTGGAGTTTCGAACTTGAACTTAACGTTAGACCTCGTAACGTTAGTGGGTGGCTCGGCGATGCGGGCAAAGTTTTTGACGAAGTGCCTGTAATTGGCGCACAGCCGTTTTGTCAACTTGTGGCGGAAAGGCAGCGATGGCAGCTGTCTTCTGAGACTCAGGCCTGACTTCGGCCTTGCTTATCATGTGGCCTGAGAAGAAGAGTTCCTCGAACGCGAAGCGGTACTTTCTGGCTTCAGGATGAACCCAGAAATCTTGATGACTTGAAGTACAGCTTGACTGTGCCTGAAAATCTCGTCGAAGCTTGACGAAAACACTATGACGTCGTCGGAGTAAGCTAGACAAGTCTACCACTTTAATCCTGCCAGCACTGTGTCCATAACACGTTGAAAAGTCGCAGGTGCTGAGCAAGGACCAAAGGCCATGACCTTAAACTCGAAAAAGCTGTCTGGTGTTATAAACGCACTTTTTTCTCGGTCTCTCTCGTCTGCAACGATCTGTAAATAGTCTGTCTTGAGGTCCATCGATGAAAAGTATTTTGCGTTTTGGAGTCGATCAAGGATCAATCATTTGGCGTACAAGGTGTATGTCCCTCATCGTTATCTTCTTGAGTCAGTGATAGTCAACGCAGAAGCATAGTTTTCTATCGTTTTTCTTCACTAGCACCACCACTGACGCCCATGGACTCTGTGAAGGCATGATAATGTCGTCATGGAGCATTTCGTCGACTTATTTCATTATGGTCTCGCGTTCTCGTGCGAAACTTTGTACGGACTCTGACGGAGTGGCCTGGCATTTTCTTGTGTTACGATTCGATGTTTCGCGACAGGTGTCTGTCAAATTCTTGATGACGACAAAAAGCTGTTCTTGTATTTCGGGAGCACGTTCTCGAGCTGCTCTTTTTTATGCGTCGGAAGGCTCGGGTTAACGTCCAAAACTCGGTGAAGGGTTTCAGTCGTCAGAGCAGATTTGGCAGAATCGTTGAGGGCGAAAGCGTTGCTGGATTTCAGTATCTCTTCAATGTAGGCAACCATCGTGCCTTCACTGACGTGCTTGTACTCGTTGCTAAAGTTCGTGAGCATCACTCTTGCGTTCCCTTCTCGCAGCTCGGTCATTCTTCTAGCGACGCAACTTTCGCAGTTTATCAACTGGTGTTGGTCGCCTTCAACGACGCCTTACATGTCTGTTGATTCTTGAGTGCCGACGGAAATGCTGACGCTGGAGCAATGAGGAATGGCGACTTCATCTTCCAGCAAATTCAAGGTGTGTCTTCCTGACGACGTGTAAAATGGCAGTGGTTTTTCTGTGGATAGTATTTTCGACTTTGTTCTCAGGTCGATGGCCACACCGTGGAGGCTCAAGCAGTTCATTCCAAGAATGACATCGCTCGAGGAATGCTACAGCACGGCGATGCTTGCGGGATACATGCGGCTGGTAATGGTCTCTCTAGCTGCGCAGACTGCCGCCGGTGTCACTAGGTTACCTCGGGCTGTACGGATTTCAGGGCCTTCCTAAGCAATCTTAACTTCCTTCAACTTCACAGTGAAAGTCCCACTGAAGACATAATAGTCGGCTGTGGTGTCGACGACGGCTGTGATGCTGTGGCCGTCGATGAAAATGTCGAGGTCGCTTGCTCGTCACCTGGCGTCGTGGTTGGGTCCCGCTGTCAGATCACGGCAACGGCGGTTCGCACCACTGTTTCGACGTTGCATAATGAGGACTTCTTTGGAACTCGAGTTTTGACGTCGGGCTACGTTGAGGTGACGACAGATTCTTGAAGTTTTATCGTGACTGTTTCATAAGTGGCGGAGGATCTTTGGCAGTTTCTAGTGCAGCAACCTCACCTCCATCAGTTGGGGCTCTTAGGTTTTCCTGATACAGGCTAGACGACTGGCCCCGACTTAGGCCACTACACTGACGACAGTGCGGTGACATGTGGTGGCTGGTCGAAGGTGAACGAGAGTATCCTCGAGTTGTTCTCTGCGTTCCAGCAATATAGTCGGCGACGTCACGTGGTCTTTCACCCCACTGTGGACGTGGTGCTTTGATGGTGAAACCAAGTAGTCTCATTCGGCAGTACTGGCAGCAGCGGTAGGTGGGGCCTGCTTCCCCGAAGCGGTAGCCGAGAGGCTGGTGGTGGGGGCGCGCTACACGTCGGTTTTTTTTAGCATTGTGTTGGCTGGCGGGTGGATGGTGTGGCGTTGCCGGTGGCAGTGTCTGACGACGCAGATGCGGAAGTGCGGCCTCTTGACGTGGACGTGGAGTATAGCGTCGAGCAGCAGCAGTGTAGCTCAAGGCTTGACGGTGTGGTTGCGATGTCTCATGGGTACCATTATTTGCTTGATTTCTTCTTTGACAATGTCTGCGATCAACGAAACTTGTGGCTGGCATGACAGGAACCTTTGGCGAAGTTCTTCGCGCACAACAACCATTATCGTCCCACACAGACCATCAGAACATAGTAATTGTATCTCTGCGTAGCCTGGAGCGGAGCGGTGGATGAACTGTCGTGTGCGCATTACGAGGGTTTTTTTTTCAATAGTTGTCGCTTCTGTGAAGAATTCTAGGATGGTCTTCGTTGGGTTTCTCATCAATCCCGCGAAGAGGTCCTGTTTGACGACTCGCATGAAGAAACGAACTTTCTCCTCCTCAGGCATGCCAGGGTCAATGTGACAAAATAGGCAGGTCACTTCTTATAAGAAATGGCAACACTTTCATTTGGTAGCTGAACCAGCGTCTCTAGCAAAGCAGCGGCCCTCTCTTTGTAAGCGACACTCGCGAACGTTTGCAGTATTGCGCCGCAGAAGACATCCCATATTTTGAGCGCAGACTCTCGATTTTCAAGCCAGGTTCTTGCGGTGTCTTCCTGATACAAGTACTCGCGACGGAGCTTTTCTTCAATGTCCCAGTGGTTGAGGGCGGCACCGCAGTTGTATGTCTCTAGCCAGGTCTCTGGGTCTTCGAACAATGATTCACAGAAAGTTGGTGGTTTCCTGGGTTGATGCATGATGATCGTGGGCTGTAACGCAGTGGTTGTCATTGTCACTACATTCGAGGTCATTGCCTTCGTCTTCCGCACCTTGTCTTGTAGAGGCCCGTACTCCGGTGGTACACCTCGCCACTGGCGGCTTGTTCACTGCTCCTTGTTGGCGTCGGTGTCTTCTCCGCAACGTGGGCTGGGTTCACGGCTTGACGCGGGTGTACGGTACATGAACGGAAGTGCACCTTCAAGAGATCTCACGGTGTTTTGACGTGGCTGAAGGCAGGAGACTGGATGGTCGGATAATAAGCTGTGTATTGAGGCCTAACTTGCGGCCACAGAAAAGGAAATTCAAATTACAACAAAACACTGGCACTGATAGCGGCGAGTAGAGCGTCGGCCTTCGATCAACTGACAAGCGGCGAAGAAAGTCGGCATTTAAACACTTGCCATGAAATGTTCTAGCGTTATTGCTAGCGGTGCTGTAGGTTGCAGAATATTCGGTAATGTTCACGAAGATGACGTAATCTTAACAAAATGATCTGATACAGCCTCTAAGCTTTTCGAACATCGTAAGCGAGGTTTGCGCTGAACGCAGTGTAACGGTGTGATAACAATAGTTGAGGAAAAGAATATTGGCACTTGTTACAAAATTAGCTGGTATTGCTTGCATAGTAATATACTTTCTCGCTCTGCCTACCTGTAATTTCTTGTAGAAACACGTACGCCACTTCAGCCACAGTACCATGGTAGACCAATTCACACAGTAGTTTGAAGTTTGAAGTCGGAAATTTATTTGCTTTTATTACAGAAGTGGATGGAGCAAAAAGCTATAAAGGACTGTCAAAGGGCTCACGCTCCTGTTTGTACTCAGCATCAGCGGTACAAATGCTAATACAAAATTTCTCACAGAAATTCATATCAAATAATATGTCACGTGAGCGGAGTACAGATAGCATAAAAATAAATCACATTATTACAAATCATAAGGATTCTGCAGAATGAAATTTTGTGATTTCAGTAAAAAGTACCATAGAAAACGGGAGTAAATTGCATTATTCAATTGTGAAAGAAAACAGTGTGAACAATAATACACATCATGCACATTCTAATTGATGTTTTCCGAAATACAGTTTCATAGATTTTTGACAAAGTGTGAAGGTAAGCACATGGCCATGTTACCTCGCGATATTACATTGATTAGAAAAACAGGATGAACGCAGATGCAGCAAAATAACACAATTAACAGATGCCCAAGTTGTCATCACTTGGAGCGGGAGCTACTTCAATGTTAAAAAAAGAAAAAAGAACACTTACGTCTGCAAAAGATACAAAGCCGTCGCCATGCTTGCCGCGTCCGGTTGCCAAGGACCCAACCTTCCAGTTAGAAGGATTTGCGAGCACCCAAGAAAGGCCGTATGTTGGTATTCCGACCATAATTTTTGATCTCGGCATGCCTAATTCAGCCCACAAGTTGGCGCTTGAAGCCTGTGAGGGACAACATGAATCAATAAAGTGAGAGTGCTTGAAAACCTCCACATTGTTATTCATGAAGGCGCTGGTCCATCGTAACGTGAGACTTACTCGCAAAAGCACGACAAACATTGAGCGCTCGGAAAACGCGGCTTATACATATACGAAGGCAAAATCTGAAGCCTGTCGTTACATTAAAAAATCGCAGCATATCCACAGAGTGCCTGATGATGAGTGGAGTGAAGCATCCGTCAGTCTATCCGCGCTACCCTCCATCCAGTCGTTCTTGCTTCCGCCCATTCATCCATCCGTCTGTTGGTGCGTGCGCCTTGCGTGTGTTTGCGTGTCCTTCCGTACGTCCCTCTATGCGTTCATCCGTCCTTCCATGCGCCCTGTGCATCCGTCCTTTCGTCCGTGCGTCCATCTGTGCGTTCATTTGTTTAGCCATTTATTCGTGCGTCCGCCCGTCCATGCATTTGTTCGTGCACCTATCCATATGGTCCTTCTGTGCACCTGTCCATCCGTCCTGCTGTGCTTCTCTCTGTCTGTCCTTCTGTGCGTCTGTCCATCGGTCCGTCCTTCTAGTGAATACTCCAAGTACCTCCATCTCGAATCTTTTCGTAATATTTTCGTCATATAGAAGTACCTACATCCAGCGGACATTCCAAGGACAAAACGAGGGGTGGCATGGCCTGACTGGAGGAGCAGCACGCGCGCACACTCTTACAGCCTGCGCTTTGTGTCTAGTTCCCACCTTTTATCGCCACTAGTTAATGACACTGCCGCCCAACCTTCCCTAAACTTTGCTAAAACCAAGGAGCTTACCCCAGCGAGTTTCACGTGACAATCTTCTGAGTAAATAGTGCTCAAAGTGCGCCCTTCTGTTACTAGTTTTTGTTTTATAGAGCATCAAATTCAAGGCAAAATTTATTGCAGATTTAAGTCACCGATGCTCGTCTCCATAGTTTATTTCATCAAAAACAACTCTCTTTTGATTTATAAGTAACGTGCGTAAGTTTTCTCCTTAATTCAAAAGAGTGCGCGCGTGCCGTTTGTCCAACCCGGCCATGGAGGTGGCTACCTATTCTGTGACGACGACGACAACTACTACTACACTCGGCGACAACGTTTCTCGGCGCTGAACGGAAAGCTGTGGAGGCGGAAGTTCTGTACATGTAGCACTACGTAATGTAGTTCGTTTTGACGACCTTCTTGTGAAGCTGTGAAAAGTGACGGGAGAGCACCATCAGCGTTTCATGTATACGTAGACGCCTCATAGCGTTTGCGCTGCACGTAAAGAGGCTGGACTTTCTCACTTGGTCAAAAACTCAAAGTCAGAATGGAGAAATCGTCTTAACGGTGCGAGCTGCTTTTGTCTCGAAAAGCTCCACGTAAAAATTAAAATAGCAATTTTATGTTTCACACGTTGAAAATACGAGTGCTATTGTGAAAATAAATACACTAGTGGTATGATTCACGCAGTTTTACTCTAAAGCCTTCGCTCCACTGCCAAGAAAAGCTGTCGCCATATATACATACATCGTGGACGCAAGGCCCACGGCTTAAGGAGCTTCGACCCTAAAAATATCCACAATAAAGAGTTTGGGAATTGAGGCTCCAAGGAGCTTTGAACCCTAGAAGCTTGCGGCGTGTTAAGGCGCTTGCGCAGAACCTAAGGTAATCTTCGACTCTTGCGTTCGTGCTGACCCAAGACCCGAAACCTTTTGGTTCAGCACTATCAAAGCTACGGGGTGTAAGAAAGTCACACAGTTGAGCGAAAAATCATAGTCTCAGACACATTTAGTGCCTTAAAAATAACCGGGTTGACTAAAATTGGCTTTTTTTGGTGTATATTACTCCATATTGTGATGTGATACGTTTATTGTTCGTATTCAGTTATAGCATGGTATGTTGTACCATGTTATATAGCTTAAATAAAAAAACTACATATACACACAGAGTGAATGATTATGTTTAGCACGAAGCGTATGTACGTGCGTTCATACTTCCGTTCTTGCGTTCATCCATATATCCGTGCACCTTTCCGTACACCCGTTCGTCCGTGCGTTCTTCCATCCATCCATATGTCTGTCTGTATCTGAACATTCGTCAGCTTGTCTGTATGTCTGTCTACCTGTCTGTTCCTGCGCTCGTCTGTCTGTCCGTAAATCCGTCTATCTAGTCAAAACTCCAAGTAACGCCATCTCTCATCTTTTCATCATATATGCATCATAAACAAGTAGCACCATCCAGCGGATATTGTAAGGACTAAAGAGGGTGTGGCTACACCGGTGACACAAGAAGTATGACCAACGGCGTAAAAAAGCTTCGCCCCTAAAAAAGCTGCCAGACCTGCGGTAAACGCGCAGCACAGTCACAGCGAAAGCTGAAAGAGCGGCCTTTAGGAGCCTTTCAGGGGCGAAGCTGCTATATTCGTGGGTCTGTTCGTCTATGTCTGTGAGCGGTTCGTAACAACCTAGTTTTATGACTCACTCAGCAGGTGGTCTTTGTGTGAGTCACATACAGTATGGAGGTATTTATTTATTGCGGAATACGAAGTCAGGGAGAACACACGAGACGAAATGCTGTCCGCTTTGATTTATGTTGCTTCTACGACTACGTGTTTTGAAGTATCTGCCACGCAGTTTCTAATATTGAAAATCTATCAGCGCCAAACACTTGACTTCGCTTACACTTATCTTTTTCTTGCTGTTGTTGTTGGCCATTTTTCTCGTTTCTTCTTTTTTTCCTAATTACTTCTTCATGAGAATATATATAAATGTAAGGACTGTACCCGTCAGCTAGGCTCCAGTTAGTGGTCGCTAATAATAATAAATGCATTTTATTAGGTTTTCTACGGGCGCCCACAATTTTTATTACTTATACAAATTTATAATATATAAGCAAAGTTGAAGTGCATAAATTAACAAAAGTTCAGACGTGCCCACATGAGAAGAGCTATTTACCAGGTTGAGCATGTTCAGCACGGGAAGTTCTCCAGCTCTCGGAAATAGGGGGCTGTTATGGTCAACAAATGGCAGGTACCACTGATACACGTGCAGGTCATAGGTCATTAGGTTGACAAAATCCACGGACCTGCGTTGAAAATTGAGCGTAATTGTTCTGCAGTATTAACTTTTGGCACGTGTTCATTATACAGGAAGCTTTCTATTTACATTGAGTTTAGCGCTTATCGCGCGTTCACACTTTAGAGTTGAAGAAAAACGAAAACGCCAGAGAGGCCGGAAAACCCCGAGCACGCGCGTCGAGGATGTTTACATAATTTCTGCCCCATGCCGCCGCCGCTGCCGTCGATACCTTGAAAACTAATACGATTTCGCCTGCTTTCTGAGAACCAAAGTTCGTACCAAATTCTAGTTATTCACGCTTAGTAGTGAAAAAGAAATACTAGCTCGCACCTTTTGAAACGTTGTTTCGGGAGAAACGACACGACCGAATGCTCCGGCAACAGTGGCGGCGCATTCAGCTGGCTGTTCACAAACGCGACACACGTTGGGGCATGCCGACTCGCTGCCGCTGCACCGTCTACTTCCAGAGTTCTCGACGATCGTAATCCAAGTCAGGCTCTCAATGAGCGCGTCCACGTTGAGGCCATCAAGTTTTGTCGTTCTGCACAGGTAGTTTTTGATTTGAGTCGATGCGAGCCACCCCCGACGCCTGTGCCGCCATGTTGAATCTGCGACCAGCTGTTTAGGTCACGTGGTTCGATCTAGCGCAGCCAAGGCTGTGAAGAGGAAACTGTATCCGGTGTCCCGTGGCGGGAAAATCGTGCTTGAACCGACTTTTGCGCGCCGGCTGCGCGGAGTGGTTTTCTGGCCGCTTGGGCGGCGAAACTAACCAGTTTGCGCAGAGTTTTGCCGGTATCGCTCTCTTCGAGGCCAAGTGTGAACGCGCTTTTAATGTTTTTCTCTCTTGCTATGAAAAGAAAGTTGCCAAAAATTGCACAGCAGCTTTCGCAGACATTCATGCAATGCTTTATTTCTATGGTATCAGCGGACACTTCTCGACGCATACACTGGTCATGACGTCATCAGTGACCATACGACGGCGCAAGGCTGTGGCGCCGTGGCACACACGTGTCATCTAGCCGATGGTGTTTCCTCCTCACAGTTTCCAAACTATCGCCATCTTTCATACACTGCCACACTCTGCCTCCACTATCTTTCGCCTCAGTCACTCTATTTGCGGCGTTTGTACCCTGTTTCCCCCCTTTAGTTCTGCACTTCCAAACCTGCGGGGTGTGAAAAAGCCATATGTTTGCGCAGCAAAACGTAGGTCCTCTTAAAACTGACAAGGTTGAATACAAATGGCGTTTTTTTGGTGTGTTGTATGCAACACCTTTATATCATAAGTTTAATAAACGCGAAGCATATATTAGCGAACTTCGGCGACTTTGAATCTATCTATCTATCTATCTATCTATCTATCTATCTATCTATCTATCTATCTATCTATCTATCTATCTATCTATCTATCTATCTATCTATCTATCTATCTATCTATCTATCTAGCCTTTTATGCTTTGGTGCTCTCGTGGTCACCCGCGTAACTTGGCGTGAACCAAAATTAGAATTGGAGGGTAATATGGCTTGAAGAATACGACGTGCTGGTCAAGTCTAAATAATGTCACAGTCCCGTCACTAACGTCGTCAAACACTTCCCGTCAGAGAGTGTTTGTTTGTCCCTTTTAGCATGGCGCAACTTACTTTGGGGGATCGGCTATGAAACTAAAGGTGCCTTGCTATTGAAAAGGAAATGTTCATAATTTCAAAATGTTAAATCTTTAAAGTATATGCTTAATCTTGATAACTTTTTCTTAACTGTGAACTTAGAGTTAAATTCTTCTCGTCTCCTGAAGGAAATCACGAACGGGCTTGCAAGTGCTCGTGTGGCTGCACATACCCATGGGCGTGTATGTGTCGCTGGTATGAGAGTTTGTGCCACAGCTGATTGACAGTATCTATTCAGAAACGGCGAGAACACACATCGGCAATTTTAACGCGTGAACGTTAGGCAATAACCGACATCAGTAACGTGGACACAACGAAGGCATAGAATAAATGCCAGTGTTAAGAAACACCTGACATAGGCAGTGTTTAACCCCCCGACGAATGCAAATAACTAATTTCTGGATCCCAGCAGGAATCGAACCGCGTCATTCTGCGTGGCAGTCAAGCATTTTACCACAGAGCTGTGCCATGTCTCGGAACTACTTTTCACTTAGACGCTAATATTAATTAAACGTTACATAAAAATTATTACATAAGTACTTTTTTGATACAGCCGTCACGTCGGGTTAATGTCAATTGTCGTTAGTGGCCATGCACTGAATTTTATACATGTAGTAGTGTCCAGGGTGAGCATCTTCGCGAGCATCAGCGCTTCTTATCAGCTTCTAGTGCTGCTAATACGCATGCTCCAGTTGATATCGATGCGCAAATGCAAAGAACTGGTTATATGAACATCTGGAACTCTTAAACCTATTGTGACGATGGGGGATCGACGAGCACACAAAGCACCTAGAACAAATACGCTTCAACGATCACAGAAAAAAGACTGCAACGTTTTCTCGGTCTCTGCCCTAGACCGCAGACTTCGCGCTGCTTCGTTGTCGCCACCAGTGGCACATACGCGCGGCAATGTCTGTGCGTCCAGCATTTTTACATATATTCAGCGTCATTTCATGACGTGTTGCTCAATAAAAAAATTGCTACACGGTCACATTTCATCCGCATGCTTCGCATAACGTCGACTGCAAGGTACGTGGGATCTGTCGTGTTTTTCTTTTTCTGATTTATTTTGTACGCATTCAGATATGTGTGTCAGTTACCACTGATAACTGTGTGTACAAATCAACATGGCAGCGCCCTTGCAAAAGCAGCCGCCCACTTTATTCAGACTTCTTCTTGTTACACACCCACTGCGCTGACATCAGTAAACAAATAGGGAAATCAGCCATCGATTTGTTTATTCTCACTCTGGAAATAAAGCATCGGGTAGGTTCTGTTGTAACTAGCGAGATATGCTACTTTCTGCTTTTGTGTAACTAGTAGATATGCTACTTCCTGCCAAATTTTTCTTCCTCGAATTTCCTTTGAACGCATTCATATATTGTGTCAGTTACCAATGATAACTATGTGTAAAAAGCAACTAGGCAGCGCCCTTGCAGAAGCGGCCGCCCACTTCTATCTGGACTTGCTCTTCTAATACACCCACTGCGCTGATAGCAGTAAACAAATAGTGAAAGCAGTCACCGATTACAAGCGGCTGTAACAGCAATGTCACACACCACGAAAGACAAGACTGGACAATGACTGACTGTGCGCGCGTGTGCTGCTGAATGTGCTGTGTTTATCTCTCCTCCCTCTCTGCTCTCTACCTTTCATCTCCCCATCCCCCTACCACGCGCAGAGTAGCAAACCGGCTGCCTATAGGCTGGTTAACCTCCCTGCCGTTCTTTTTCTCCTATTTCCTTCCTTTCTTCCTTAAGCAACCGATTTGTTTATTCTCATTCTGAAAATAAAGCATCAGGTAGGTTTTGTTGTAAGCAGCGAGATATGCTACTTCCTTAGCCTCACCTGCTAAGCCTAACGCGCCGAGGACATGTTCAGGCTGCGTCGTCAGACCAAGACTGCATCTCCATATATCGGATATGCTACCTTATACACCGCATTTTGCGCATTGTATTCTCTTTCAGTGGAAACAAAAAAATAGAGAAAGGAGAGTAGCAGCAAGAGACGCGAAAGAACGTGTCGACAGAGAAATAGATACTAGAGCCACAAACAGCATTGGTGAGAAGCAGCCATAAAATGAACTTTTCCGCTGGCATGAGATTACACCAATCTTCAACAAACCAACCAATTCACGCTTTTCAAGGTCCCGATGTTGTTGCTAATTTGTTAGCTTCACCGTTGTTTTAAGTAATAAACAAGCCATAATAACTACAATTCAGTGGATAGACGGCTTGAATACGGCGGGCAGATGACAGTGTGCGAATGAATACACGTGTGGGGGCTAAATGCCCTTTCTGCTGGCTGAGGTGCCTGTAACCTCCACAATGCTGAAAGGAAGTTCTAAAACAAAATATAGGTTCCTTGGCACGGCTGAGCGGCAGCAGCCGGAAGCTCTGCTGAGATGAAGATTTTGATCTGTTGTGTTTAGAAGAAATGTTCAATGATTTAGAGTACATGGGGCACTTATATAGGAGAGCAATAAGCTGTCTGAATACCATAGCATTCTCAAAAAGCGCTGAAGATTGCAGCGCTGACTCGAACAACAGATGTTGCCTTTGCAAGGTTCAGAACGACCTCAATATTTTCTTGACTCTATGAGTCTCTCAAGTTACAGGGAAAGTAGAAAAAAGAAGAAGTCTTCCCAAAAAAGGCCATGGGATGATGCGGATTAACGCAGTTGTGCAGTGCGAGCAGTCGTTTTAAATGACAAGCATTCCTTAGCGACCTTCGGCAACCTTCAGCACATCAATCTATCTAGCTATCTGTCTAGCCGCATACGACTTTTAGCTCTCCTGGCTGTTTCGATAATGTTAATAATCCCAAACTTGGTGTGCCATAACACGGCTGTATAGCGAGCATAAGTGACTAGCCATAACATGAAAATTATGACATGTGCGTCATGAATGTCATTATATACATTTCATGGTGTAGCTGCTCTTGCGATGGTTTTGTTCACAAGACATGCTGAAAAACTGGCATGGTATGAAAGGACTGCATAACGAACATAAATGACAGACCCTAACGTGGAAATCATGAAATGGATGTCATGATTTTCATGTTATGATTAGTCATGGCTACACGCCACGCTCAAGGTGCACTCACGGCCGTTTCACTAGCTCCGCAGCTACCGAATTTGGCAGTACGGGACGTGAATGAATGACGAGGGTATGTGATTGGCGCAAACATAATATTCATCAGTACAGATGCGTGTCATGTAACAACATCACAACATGCCAAGCTCATGATGGGCTCGCGTTTGTTTCTCTAGTGTCACTTATACCACGTTTCGTATTACGGGACGTGAATGATGTCGAAGCTGTGTAACTGGAGAAAACATGATAA